GGATTGAACTCAAGCCCTTGTGCTTGTCAGTTAAGTGCTTATTCTACTGAGCTATCTTTCCCGGCCCCAAGGCTATCATTTTCCAGTGGACATGTTTGGCCCCTTTATCAGAGGTGTCTGAGTTTGTTTGCAGTTGTGTTTGTGTCTTCTAATCTTGATCTTCACATCTGTGTTGCTGAATTTGGTGATTAAATCTACAAAACTCTTCATGGAGTTTTTGGGGTTCTGTTTGTATTGTATCATGTCATCTGCAAAAATACTAGTTTCACCTTTTCCTTTTCAATTATTATTCCTTCTGTTGCTCTCTTGTCTAATTCCTCTGGCTAATGTTTCTGGAACTGTATTAAATAGGAGTGGAGGCAGTGAACATCCTTGTCTTGTACCTGATTTTAAAGTGAAAGCCTTCATTTTTTTGCCCATTTAGTATGATGATGGCTGTTGGCTTCTCATAGATGGCATTTATCAGGTTGAAATATAGACCATCTATTCTGATTCTCTGTAGGGTTTTTATCATGAATGAGTATTGGACTTTGTCAAAAGCTTTTTCTGCATCTATTGAGATGATCATGTTGTGTTTCTTGTTGGTTCTGTTGATGTGTATTACATTTATAGATTTGCCTATATTGAGCCATCCCTGCATTCCTGCAGTGAAACCCACTTGATCATGATGTATAATTTTCTTGTTGATTTGCTGCATTCTGTTTGCTAGTATTTTATTGAGGATTTTTGCATCTGTGTTCATTAGAGAGATTGGCGTGTAGTTTTTTTTTTTTTTTTTAGTTGGAACTTTCTCTGGTTTTGGAATCAGAGTAATACTTGCTTCCAGGAATGATTTTGGGAGAATTGCTTCTCTTTCAGTTTCATTGAAGAGTTAGAAAAAAGTTGGCATTTTTCTAAATTTGTTGTAAAATTCTGCTGTGAATCAATTGGGACCTGAGTTTTCTTTGTTGGTAGGTTTTATGTAAAATTTTCAATTTCATTTCTCTTTACTGCGTTATCCAGAGTTTGTATATCTTCTTGGCTCAGCTTTGGCATTTCATTTGTATCTAGGAAACTCGATTTTCTCTGTGTTTTCTATCCTGTGAAAATAAAGATTTTGGAAGTAGGTATTGATGATCTTCTGAATTTCTTCAGGGTCTGTAGTGATTTCACCCTTTCCTTTCTTATTACATGAATTTGGTATTTTTCTTTCCATTTTTGATTAGCTTGGCTAGGAGTTTATCAATTTTATTTCTTTCAAAGAACCAGCTCTTTTATTTATTTATTTATTTCTGTATTTTAGGGAAGGATCTACAGGGTGTTTAGGGTCTCACTACTAGGTTGGACTCATAGTGATTCTCCTGTTTACAGTCCTCCAACTGCTGGGATTACAGGTGTGTGCCACCACGCCCAGTCTCAATCGCTGTCTCAGCGCACCCAGGATGTGGGGCCGGCACGGCAACCCGGGGGATCAAACCCCTGGCCCCTGCATCTGCTTGCAGGTGCTTTAATCTGCTGAGCCATTTGACTGGCCCTGTAATTCTTTTATTCTTTGTATTGTTTTCTTCATGTCTCATGCATTAATTTCTACACCTTCTTTGGGCTTGACTTGCTCTTTTGTAGGAGCTGGAGGTATAGCATAAGATCGTTTATTTGACTTGTTCTATTTTCCTAATGTATAAATTTACCATTATGAATTTTTCTCTTAAGACAGCTGTCATTGTGTCCCACAGGTTTAGGTAGGTTGTATCTGAATTTTCATTTAATTGTTAATATTTGTTAAGTTTTTCTTTAATTTCATCTGTGACCCATTTGTTGTTTAGGAGGTTATTTAATTTCCATGTGTTTATGGTGTTTTTATAGTTTTTTGTCAATAATTTCCAGTTTTATTGCACTGTGTGATTAGATGGAATGCATGGAATAATTTCAGTTCCTTTACATTTACTTAAGAGTGCTCTATGTGCTATTAGTATATGGTCTATTTTGAAGAATGTCCCATATGCAGCTGAGAAAATGTGTATTTTGTTGTTGCTGGGTGAAACACTCTGTAAAGGTCTACTAAAGTACACCTTTGTGTCTGGTGTATTAAAGTTCACCATTATTGTATTATTGCTTATTTGATTTTTAATGTTTGTTAAAATTTTGTCTTATTTAGAAGGGTGCTCCTACATTGGGTGCATATATGTTAACAGTTGTCTTCTCTTCCTCTTGCAGTTTTCCCTTAAGAAGTATATAGTGACTTTCTTTATCCCTTTGAATGATTTATCGTTTGAAATTGATATTGTCAGCAACCAGCATAGCCACCCCTGCTTTTTTCTGATTTCCTGAGGCATTGGGGATTGTTTTCCATCCTTTGACTTTTAGTCTTTGTATTTCCTTTTGAGTTAAATGTGTTTCTTGTATGCAACATATTATTGGATTTTGTTTTTTAAACTGCTCTGCTAGTCTGGTTTTTTTTTTGATTGGTGAATTGAGGCCATTTACATTGATCGTTATAACTGATATATATTGGCTTATTTTTGTTACGTTATTTTCTTGCTATAGGTTTTTTACTTTTTCCTCTTTTTAATTACTTGCTATGGTGGTTCCTTTCTGTTCTTCTTAAAGCACTTCTGTTTCTTTCTAGAATGTCTGCCAGTAGTCTTTGTAGGGTTAGTTTGGTGATCATGACTTTCTTCAGTTGTTCTTTGTCATGGAAGGATCTTATTTTGCCATACTTGATAGTTTTCCAGGATTCATCAGTCTGGGTTAGAAGTCATCTTCTTTTAGAACCTGTAATACTTCACTCCAAGCTCTAGTTGATTTGATGTTTTGTATTAAGCAGTCTGCTGAGAGCCAGCCAGATACCTCAGCAGCTAGAAGCACCTGCTTTGGCAGACACGGGCTGAGGGTTCAATCCCCCAGCCTGCCATGCTGGCGGGGCACACTGAGATGGCAAATGAGACTGGGCGTGGTGGCATGCACCTGTAATCCCAGCACTTGGGAGGCTGAAAAACTGGAAGGATCACTACAAGTCCAGTCTTGTGTAGTGAGCCCCTATAGATACTGTACTAAATACATTAAATAAATAAGTGAATGAATAAAAGAAATCTACCATAATTCTGATGGGCCTTCTATTGTAGGTGATCTGTTTCTTATCTCTAGCAGCTTTTAATATTCTGTTCTTTTGCTCATTTTCTAAGATCTTGGTTATTTATATGTCTAGGTATAGATTTATTGTAATTCTGGTCATGTGGAATTCTATATGCCTCTCTGAACTGTGTGTCAGGTTCTTTTCTCATGTTTGGAAAATTTTCTTTTAGTACTTCTGCAAATAATCTTTTCATATCATTTGTGCTGTCTCCTGCTGTTGCATTGACACCTATTTTTATTTTCTGGTTCCCTGTTAGTTTTAAGAAATCTTTCCTTTCACATTCATTAGCTACACCACTGTCTTTGAGGTCTGGAAGTCTATCTTCAGTTTCATTCAAGCAGTTTTGCCAGCTTTCAAAGGAGTTCTTAATTCCCTGCATATCTGTTTGAATCTGTTTCATTCATTCTAATTCTTTCCTGTATTGTTCATTCAATGTTTTGATCATTTTTCTATTCTCTATTTCTTTATCTATGTCTTCTTTAGCTGTGCTGAACAATTCTTTCACGATTGTTACCATTTCTGTTTTGACCTGAGAGATTATTTCTGATCTTATTTCTTCTATAGCCTGATGGACTTGTTTCTTTACTTCAGTTACTATCATTTCAGAGATTTCAGGTATGTGATTTCTAAATTCTTGTATGTCTTTGTCTCCTGGATTTGTTCTGGGTGGGCTAGAAGAATGAGATTGCCTTTGGCTCCTGCGTTTTCAAATTTTTGAAGCTCCCAGTAATCACCCAGACAGAGTCCTGCAGGCCACCTAGAGTTCATCAAAGTTGTTAAATGGTTCCAGGAAAGCTCCATGCCTGCGCTCACTGGGCCCACAGATTGCAGTTCTCCTGTTTCCCGCAGGTGACTCAGAGTCTCCCTAAGTTGTTAAAAGCTTAGACTCACACAACAGAAGCTCTACACCTGCACTCTGGGTGCTAAGAATGTGAGAGCTTACCAGAGTCCCACAGCTCCCCTCATTCTTTCTTTCCCCAACCCCAACCCCAACCTCAACCCAAGAGGTCTTTGTTAAGTGAGGCATGTTAAGATATTATTTGCAAAGTGTTTAGCTTTATTTTGGCTTAGAAATAAATGCAGATTTTATGTTTTATTCTTTCAAGTATCAGTGTTTTACTGTAAGGGTACTACTTAGAAGAGTTGACATTCTAGAAAAATGTATTGTTTTTTATTATGTGATTTTATAGACCCCTTGATATGCCCCTGGACTTATAAACTCCCTTCTTTGTGATACACAACTATAAGAGGTTTTTGGTTTTTTATTTTTATTTTTTGCTTTTTGAGTCAGGGTTTAACTATGCAGTTCAGGCTGACTTTGAATTCCGTATGTAACCCCAGGCTGGCCTCGAACTCATAGCAGTCCTCCTTTCTCAGCCTCTTGAATGCTGTGATTACAGGTATGTGTCACCATGCCCAGCAGGAGCATTTTTTTTTAAAAAAAAACAATTTTTAGTGTTTAAATTTTAGTTATATTGTAATATGGGACTTTATATGAATGTTTCTTCTGGGGTAGAAATCTGTTGAAAATTCTGGACAACAGTATGTTAGTCATGTCTTTTTCCCTACCTCTAGAATTTATGTGACGCAGTTTAGCCAGTATTGTGAGGCAGAGTCCTAGAGTGTTCCCCCCACCTCATTTTGTGGGTTTTATGCTGGCCTAATTAAAGCATTTTTTTCTAGGATGGTTGCAACCTCTGAGTAAGGATTTGATTATTTAGAACTTTTGTTAGTCCAGAAATGTCATTTATTCCTTGCATTCTACAGAATCAAGATTCATAAATTTGGGCCTATTAGTGTCCAATCACAGAGTATAAAATAAAGCAGTGATTTTATTTATACTCGATTCCCACTCAGAACAGTGATTTTTTTCTTTGCCATCCCACAGTACCTTCTCCAGGCAAATTCCGCACCCCAGCAGCACCATCTCCTTTGGCTCTCCGGCAACCAATGAAAGCATTTAGTAACCATGGCTCTGGTCCTTCGGGCAGCCAGGAAACAACACAGTTCACACAAACCACCTCCTCACCTGGGCCTCCGGTGGTTCAGAACACAGTCCCAACAAACCCTCCCAGCAATATCAACAGCACTACATTAACAAGACCTGCAGGGACAACTGCAGTGCGAAGCGGCTTGCCCAGACCTAGTGCCCCTTCTGCTGGGGGCATCCCAGTGCCTCGCAGCAAACTTGCACAGCCTGTTCGAAGGTAAGTGGAAAAAGTCCTGTTGTGGCTTTCTTGAGCATAGCACAGTGGGTGGACTAGGATAAGCCTTGTCTGTACATTGGATAATGAATATAGAGAACCATAGCGGGTTCCTACAAGGATCTTAGTATAATTTGAGTAAAATGTTACTTCATTGTTGGAAAGAAATCCTCTTTTGATATGTTATACCTGTTTCATTCAGATTGTTTGTCCAGATGCCTAACATGCTTAAGCATCTCAGAGTACTCCTGGAAAAACTTTGTGAAAAACCACTCAATTTGATTGTGATATTTGTTCATTTTAAATGTAATGATATTCAGTAAAGGTAATAAAAATACATTACAGTGATACCTAACTGCCAAGTCCAAGTAGACTCTGCCTAGGTAGACTTTGAAAACATGGATTTCAAACTGAAAAACCAGAATTACCTGTTATACTTTTTATAAACTTTTTTTACCTGAATTACTTTATATAAACATAAAGGCCTAAATTTTACCTCCATGAACTCTAACTTAGTTCATAAGAGATGAGGTCCAAGATCTGTGTCTTTTTGTCTGTATGTTGAATCTTCAAATGATTCTAATCCCAGCCAGATTGGGAACTGTTTCTCCATATTTTTTACCCTTTAACAATGGGATTGCAATAAACAAATTTATGTATCAACTATAATTGAACTTTAAATATTTTATATGCTTGAAGCATGCCTTTATCCTACAAATATTTAAATTTAATTACCTATATGTCCTTAGTTCTAATACATTTTATACTTCCAAATTCAATACCATGATGTGTTGACTTGTTGCTCTGCCCTATGATAGATGAATTATATTTACTTTGTTTAATTTCACAGTGAGTGGGTATTCTTATTTTTTAGAGGAGGATATTAAAATTTAAAGAGATTAAATAATTTGCCTAGGCCCACACAACTAATAAGATCTCTAATTCCAGGTATGTCTGATTTCAAAGACCACATAACCACTATCACATGCTGCCTCTCTAGAGATGGCGAAACAGTCTATAGTGTCACATGCATCATTCTGCATCTCAGAATGACACAGAGAGAAGCCGTGTGGATGGAAAAAGTGAAGCAGCCTTTTCTCTTGTTTTAGTCTGGTAGCCTAGGTCAGCAGCAAAGGGTTAGAGATGTCATCTGGTGCATAGCAAAGCTTGAAGTGAAATTGCTAGAAAAAGCTATGCGAATAGCTTTTTAGAGCTTTGATCTCAATAGTTCTCTGAAACAAATCTGAGAAGAGCATGATGCCACTTGAAAAATAATACATGTAAGATAACATGGTAGTATTTTGTAAAGACATGCAAATCATAATAAAATTGCTTTATTTCAGATCCTTGCCAGCTCCTAAAACCTATGGCAGCATAAAAGATGACAGTTGGAAAGATGGCTGTTACTGACCAGCACAGACAAGAATGCAGAGGTCCACGGCTTCATGGACACCCCTTCACCAGACTAAAAACAACTTTTATATATGCAGACTGTTCAGATAAGACTCTTGGGATTGGTAAATCCCAGCCCTCTCTGTCTTAATTAGCACAAACTGGCAGAGATGATCAAGCAGCACTTTAATGTCATTTAACATCAGATGTTTGGTAATCATACAATCACTCTCCATGGAATCACTTTTAGTTTTGTTTAGTAGAAACTCAGTTGATTTTTAAATATTTAACAGAGGCCAATATCTGGGCAAATACCTAATAGATGCCAAAGAAAAACGCCCACTTGTAAATGAGAAAGTACCTTTGTACAAAAGAAAATGGTGAATTCAGGCTATTCAAAACTCACGTTCAACCTAATTTACTGTATAAATAGCATCAATAAATACTGTGTTAATGAAAACTAATATTCTGACTAATATCTAAAGTGTTTCGCTAGTATTCCAGGAAACTGTGGATTAAATTTGGGACAGTGGGATGAAGAAGCCTGGGCTAGAGATTTAGAATAAGTTACCTACATTTAGGGGAAGTCTATAAATTACTTTTGCAGAGTCACTGGGAAAATTAGCATTTTATTTAATCTTAAGTTTTGGACACAGTTCACATACACACACCATTACTACCAGATAGTGTTACAGTGTACATCTATCATGATGCATTGACATATCAGACTTCTGTGTGTTTGTTTTGATTGCCAAAAGGGCTTGATATCAGTTGTACAATCTTTCTCAACTTTATAGTTCCTGGCTCAGGAAAGATGGCCTTTGCTATCAAAGCCAGCTTCTTTACATGCTGTTACCCATCGCAAAACTAGGAGATCTTGTTTCTATTAGCAGGTTTCCAGGGTGGGATAGAGCAAGTAGTGTCTTTACTCTTGATACAACAACACCTCAGTGCTTACAACCTAGAATAAAACCATTCAGAGAGAGAGGGGGCAAAAAATCTATGCACTTAAACTACAAAAATCTCTGGTGATGACAGTTGTATTGTTGCTACTGAGTGGCATATGGTCTATTATGTGGTAGAAAAATACAGCCTGCCAAGCCCTACTTAAGTTGGTCCACTTTAAACTGAGTAACTGTAGAAAATCTTCTGAAAATACTGTCCTTTTTGACTTAGATTCTGCCTTACAGCAATTTTTGTATTTTTGGTAACCTGCATCTAATTCTAAATATTTGGTTTTTATTGATATGCATATATATATTTATCCTTGAAGTCACTTGTTTTGATTTTATTAGATTATTACCAAACTAAAAACTACCTTCTGTAGCAGGCTTTTCATTTTTCATTGTGAGGTCTGTGTTTAAGTATTTAGTTTGGACAGCTGTATAATGTTAGCAGTTGGGTCACCCAAAATATTTTAGAGATCTAAGCATTTCTATTCCTTTCTGTTAAAAAAGACATTATGTAAGTTGGCAAATGAAACTGAGAGGGAAATGGAAGGCTTATTATTTAGAGTATTGAGATTGATAGGCTGAGAGAATGATAAAACGAAGACCCCTTTTGTGCCATGACTGACACTGGGGTATCTATTGGCTTGACCACTTGGGAGGCATTCAGTTAGCACAGCGGCTGCAGATTTGAACCACCAGTATTGTGTATTTTAATGAATAATGCAGGAAAGATATTGTATCCTTGAATTTAAAGGTGATGGGGTGGGTCTGGAAAGGATAGCGCCAGAATTCTACATGATGATGAGCTAGAAATGTTGCTTTTAAGAGGAAGATAAAGCATCTGCTTTGGTGGAGGAGTATTCCATGTAAATCTTAAGTCCATAAAATAAAGACTTAGCCACTGTCTTTTTAGAACCACATATACACAAAACAAAACAGGTCTCAGTTTTCCATGCAACATTTCAAATACGTATATATATGCTGCAATCTAATAAATAAAAGGAATTTTGACTATTATGGAACATCCATTTTTAAGTTAGATAATCAGTTTTAAAAGGGTTATTCAGGTTAACTTTGTTTTTAAATGGCTGTTTCAGAAAAATGTCTATTTTTTTTAATTAAAATACTTCGTCACTTGTTAAAATGTATTTTGGATCTGAGTTTGGTAAAGTATTATTTTACCTGCTGTTGTACTACCACAGATTATTGGCTTTTAGTTTCCTAAACAGAAAAATTGCCTTTTTACTAGAAAGCCTTCATGTATTGCCAGTTTTTCTGTTTGGGAAAATCTAAGGATTTACTGTGGTTAGTCTTACAGAAGAAATGTGGATTTGATAAACTAGTGCCTATGATTTTAACTTATGTTTGATATATAGTAGTAAGGGTTTTTATGAATGTTGATTATTTTGTGCCAACAGCCCAGAATTGTCACTTATATGTAAGTAGACAGCTACAAATTCTGCTTCCAAAGTTATTTAATTTTTTCAGTGTTTGAATGTTATTTTTTGTAAGTGTGTTAATAAAAATGTAAAGAATTGGAAAAATATAAATATTCTTAAGCATTTGCTGAATCATTTTTCTACAAAACTTGTTTGTATAAAACCCTCTGAAGAGTTAACTTTTCTCAGTTTTCATACCCTGGAGATCACATTTTGTAAAATGGGACCATTCATAACTGTCAGATACTTTTTAAAATTATCTCAATACATCAGTTTTATATTAAAAACAAAAGCTTTTTTGAAAGAAAATTAGATACATATATGGCCCCAGATGTTTGTATAATTCTAGAACGATCTAGACTGTATGTTTAAATTGACTTTATTGATTGTACAGGTTCCATTTTTGACATTATACATGGTCCTTTTAGATCACATTAAGTTTGATTTGCAAACATTTCTATAGCTGAACTTGTATATGTGGTTGCCTCCTTAATAAACAGCCTGACCATAATGTTTGCTATTAAATTTATACTGGTTTTTCAAGTGTTTTATTAATTTCTGGATATGGTAAAATTCTTTTTTTCCCACTAGTTGGTTACACTTGGTTTTCAAATATTTTCCAGTTGATTTTTTTAAATCTACAAACTCAAATGCTATTGCCCTTTTATATTTAGTCTATATGAGATTGGGTTATATCTTAATCTCTTTGTACTGTTGTTTTTTTGTGTATGAATTTAGTTTGTTGAAACTTTTCACTTGCTCAGGATTGGTATTTAGTTAAAAAATGTTGGCTTCTATAAAACAAGCAAAAGGCCATTATGTAAGAACCCCAAGAAGGGAAAATCAGTGCCTTTTCAAGGCAAATATAAATATTTGAGTGGTTACATGCATCTTTTCATTTGTGAATGGAAAAACCAAACTGCTCTACACTGTTGAAGGAGTTCTGCATGTTCCATTAGAAAGTGTTCATTGTGCTCTTCATTAGTCTCATTGATGAGACAGAAAAACAGCATCTTCATGTTTGAATCTTAGTCCTGAGCCGCCTGAAAAATTTTGAAAAGTATTTCATAGTAATTGTCAGTACACTTACAAATAAATTTTTTATATATATTTTTTTCATTATGTAAATATGTGAAACTATCACCTATTTACCTAAGTTTACTGTATATCCAATGCAACAAGAAAACTCACATAAAGAGTTTCTTGTGAAAAATATTTACTGCATTAAGTTTACTTTGAATTACAAAAGCAGGATATACATGAGAGAAACTAGCTTGGGAGGAGGGAATACAGGTTGAAAGTGAAACATAAGTTAACATGTAAGGCATTTTGATCCTAAGCAGTGTGTATGGGCTAAGTGATATCCTTACCATGGGGCAGTCTGCTCACTGGCCTTACTTATCTACTTCATTTAAACTGTGCACTTATATGCTAACTTCATACTAATTTTTCAGTCTATATTAAATCATTTTTTTTTTTTTTAAATAAGAGAAGTAGATCAACTGGTAGAAAATTACAGTTAGAAGAAATAAAAGTTTGGGTGTTTTGTTGCCTGCTAGGACAAATATATCCAAACATATGTGAAAAATAATGAAAATAGATATTTTGAATCTGACTTTTTTTAAGGACTACAAAATGGGGATCCGGGGAGGAGACCGCTCAGTAGAATAAATGCTTGCCTGACAAATGCAAAGGCCTGAGTTCAATCCCTGGTTCCACACACACGAAAAAAAAAAAAACCCCTACAAAATGATAAAAGAAAAAAAAAAAAGAGCCTTCCAAAGAGCTGAGATTGTAGGCACACTGGGGATCAAAATCTGGCCGCTGCGTCTGCCTAAGCAGGTGCTTTAATCTACTATTTGGCCAGCCCTAAACTTTTAAAAAGGAAAAAGAAAGTCATCTAGAAGAGATTTACAGTGTAGAGGAGGATATGTGAAAATTTTGCGCAGTGACTAAGCCATTTATAAAAGGAATTTGAGTATCCATAGATTTTTACAATCACAAAGGTCCTAAAACCAATCACCCAGAGATACCAGGGAAAAAGTTTTTATTTTTCTGCTAAAAAAAAAAAGAAAAAGAAATGATCCAAAATTTCATTAAACAAAGTAATAGGGCCTGCTAGATAGCTCAGTGGACTGAAGCACCGCTTAGGCAGAGCCTAGCGGCCGGTGTTTGCTCCCTGGCTTGCTGTGCCAGCGCCACACAGTACTGGGGTGTGCTGAGCACTGAATTCTGGCTTTTTGAAAATTCTTGTCACAAAAAAATGTTAAATGTTTGAAGTAATGAATATGCTAAATCAACACCAATCATACTCCTAAAATATGTACAATTATTGATAAAAGCTAAAGAAATGATCTTGTGATCAAAATAGCAATGTAAGAAAGAAAAAATTCTTATTTGTAATGATTTTTTTTAAGTAATATAGACTCATTGCTTTACAAAATAAACTGAAAATACTATTAAATGTATACAGTAGAAAATGGTTGGCTGTAATCCCCTATTCCAGAAATGACTGGTGAAGCACTTATGAACATCATTATAAAATATCAAGTGGAAGGATAAAAAGTATTCTTAAAGTGAAAAATTGTTTTTCAGTTAAGGTGCTGACACAAGTGTTTTTCGCACAGAGCTATAAACTGCTTTTGAAAGCATGATACGTTTCTTAATTCTTGAGTATGTGTATTCCTTCATGAAATGTGTGTATTGTTACTGGCTTTTGTTAAAAAAAATTACACTTATTGTAGAAATTGGGCGAACAGTAAATTATGAAAAAAAGCACTTAATCCTATAAGTGATCTACCTCAAGATTTGAGAATACTTTTTTTCCCTTTTTTCTCCTTATGAAGTTGGAGTCACACTTGGCCTTGACAACGTAACTTTTTCTTACTGCTAAAAGTCACTGGTGAAGGCCATGGTTTAAGTCAGTTGTGCTGGGCTGGGGATGAAGACGCTCAGTTTCCGAAAGTGCATGCGCAGTCGGGAAGCCTGTCGGGCCTGCATCATCACAGTCCTTCATGGGGTAGCACCCGTAATTGAGCTGCAGGTGCTTCCTCCCCAGGCTCCACGCAATGATTATGGTATGGTATTGGCTGTTTTAAAACAAAATGCTTTTAAGGAAATAACACACAACTATCAAATAATTGGCATGGTCTATATTAGAGTTAGCTTTAGAATCACCGGAAGATCTACTATAGCACAGATTTTCGTGTCTCACCCAGGAACATCTGTTTCAGGTGATGCTGTCCCCATAAGTGTGCCAAATTATTGGCAGGGGAGGGATAGAGTCACATCGCAAATGTCTTGAGTGTGTAAAATGTAATTCTTTTTTGTCGTGTTATGCTGAGGAGACTTCTGCACTGAGAGACAATTCTGACAGTATTTGATCTCATGGCTCAAGTGTTCATGTGGGGCTGGGGATATAGCTCAGTGGCACATCATCTGCCTGGCAAGTGCAAAGTCCTGAGTTCATTTCCTGGTACCAAAAAAGCAAAAGTGTCTATGTGGCCCAGCATCATTCCTGAATTTCCATTCTAGCAATCACCTTGGTATCCTTATAAACTCTAGTACACAGGCCAGTTTAAGTTGTGTTTCTAGAGCCAGCCAAATAAATAGCTCAGCGAATTAAAGTGCCAGCAAGTGCCGGCCCCGCCCCCGGGGCTCGCTGAGACAGAAGTTGAGATTGGGTGTGGTGGCTCGTTCCTGTAATTCCTGCTCTTGGAAGGCTGTAAACAGGCAAGTCCGATCTAGTACCGAGACCGTGAGCAACCTGTAGACCATTCCCAAAAATACAAAAAAAAAAAAAAAGTGTTTCTAGCATTTGCAACCAGAGGGTTCCTTTCTCAAAGTTTTTAGGGGACTTGCAGGTTAGTTCCGTTGTTTTAAGCACCTGGTTGGGCAAAATCAGTGAGGTGCAGGGGACTCTAGCTCCACCTGCAACACCAGACCTGCCCTTAAGGCAGCCTGAGCCAGTCCCTCCCACTCAAAACAAAAAAAACACCAAAATCCTCCTCAAAGGCTTTTAAAATTAATATGTAGCATATGTGCAGAAAGGTGAGCAGATGTTCAGCTGAAAGAACTTTGGGCAAGGGAGATAGCTCAGCGGTCTAAGCACCTCCTTGGCAAGTGCAGGGATGTGGGTTTGATCCCCTATACTGCATGCTGTGCCAGTCCCACCCCACGCCCACCAAGCCAGCCACCAAAACCAAGCGTGGCGGTACATGCCTGTAATCCCAGTGCTGGGGAGGCTGAAACAGGCAGATCAGCATGTGTCCTACTTGCATAGTGAGACCCTCTACCACATACTTGAATTAAAAAAAAAAAAAAAGATTGATTACCTGTATGACCATATATAAATTAGATAAAAGATAGAATGGGGACCAGTGAGATAGCTCAGTAGACTAAAGCACCTGCATAGGCAAGTTTAGGCAAGCACAGGGACCATGGTTTAATCCCTGGTGCCACATGCTGCTCCAGCTTTGTCCCCAGGATGGTCTGAGCGGGCCAGAATCCGGGTGTAGTGGCACATGCCTATAACCCCAGCACTGGGGAGGCTGAAAGCAGAAGGATCACCATGACTCCAAGCTGCATAGTGAGACCCTACAATAACCAAATATGTTAAAAAAGAATGGTTACAGTGCTCCAAAGTGGCTACCTGCAACTCTCCTTTTGTTCAAAGATAGCAGTTGTCCTCACTTCTGACATTACTGTTTACTTTTGCCTTTGACCTTTATATAGATGGAACCATACAATTTGTGTTTTTCATTGATTGAAAGCTGAAAGTGGTTTTCTTTCAGCACAAACATCTGTGCTGCTTTTGTTGGGGTAGTATATTCATTCTCATTGCTGTACTATATGCCATTGCATAAATGTACTAAAGATTGTCTGTTACACTGTAGGAGAGACAGGCTTGTTGGGTTGTTTCCAACTTGGGATTCTTAAAAAACAATCGTTCTTGATTTCAGGTATAATCAAGATGGAGTGGCCACTACTGCCTCTTTCCCACTGAGTAACCTAGAATATCTGTAGAAAAGACGTCACTGAGGGGGAAAAAGCCAGTGATTTGGGTAAAGGAGTCAAACCCATAGAAAAATCCATACAAGTGAGTTTTTTCTTTCTTTTTTTTTTTTTTCTTGCTTTTCACTCTTGGCTCTGAATAAAAGACACCCAGAACTGCTCAGTGGCAGCTCTATGATGTCAAAGTCTGGAAAAACCCAAAAGATCGGCAAAGGAGCTTGCAGAAGGTAGCAAGTCTTTTGTCCATTTGTTTTTTATTTTCTCATGGTTTGTTGTTCCCAGGAAAATGCTGAGGAAGAAGTGACAACAGTTAAAAGTGGTGCAAACCTTGTCCTGGACAAAGGAAGTAGGAAAAGAGCCCTTGTGGTGTGAAGAACGTGGAGCTAAAACCCCACTTCTGTTTATTCTGTTGCAAGGATACCCTAAGTAGTGCAGTAGTAGTAGTGGAGCTACAAGTCAAAACAACAGAAGCAAAACCCCATATTTCTTGTCGGAGGACAGGAAAAGGAGACCATTGTGC